TGGTGACCTTATTTTTTACTGGGGGGAAAAAAAAAACTCCTTTAAGGTTTCACAGCAGACCTTATTTAGTAATTCTGTTGCCTTGCTCTCAGAAACAGTGGGTGTATTAGTTGGAATAGGTCAGAATAGGCAGAATTACATGTTCTAACTGTTAAATTTTTGTGAATCCATCATGGTCCCAGACAAAGTCAGGAACAATTGCTGATTCCTTTCTAGCTGAGACCAGCTTTTTTCAAATTCCTCTTCTCATTTTCCTTCAAGTCAGTGGTTATAGAGGAGGCAGAAGGGGAATATAAAAGGGAGAGGGAAGGGCAACTCTGGACAAGGATGGTCAGAAAGGAAGGGAGAGAATGGGGTGCAGGCATTTATTAACTTCAGAATAGTTCTGAGATAGTCTCTAATTTTTTTTTAATATAGAATTATTCCAAAATAAAAAGTTTTATTTTTAAAAATATAAAATTTTGTTCAGTGGTAAGAGTATCAGCCCATAGACTGGTTTGATTCCTAGTCAAGGGCATGTCATTCAGTTGCAGGTTCAATTTCCTAGGTGGGTCGGGGCACAAGTTTCTCATATCAATGCCTCTCTCTCTCTCTCTCTCTCTCTCTCTCTCTCTCTCTCTCTCTCTCTCACACACACACACACACACACACACACACACACTCTCAATCTCTCTCACTCTCACCCTCAATCCAGCAGCAGCCTGCAAGAAATTCAATATGACCAACTACCATTGGGTGAGTTTGGAAGTGGGTCCCACCACTGACAAACACTGGGTGAGTTTGGAAGTGGGTTCCACCCCTCAAAAAACATTGGGTGAGGTTCAAAGAAGGTCCCACCCCTCAATAACCATTGGGTGAGGTTGAATGTAGGTCCCACCTAAAATTTCTTAATAATTCCATTCTTTTTTTTAGGAAGAATTATTTTTTCTATGCTTCTCCTTAGAAGCTTCTAATTTTCAAATCGAGATATGCTTCCCATATAGGCATTCAGTTTAATTTCAAAGCCGGCATTTTACTAATTTCTGCACGCAAAATATTAATGTAGGAGCCCAAAAACAACTGCATTTTGGCCATTTCTAAGTTGATATTTTCTAGTTAAATCTTCCCATTTCTGTAAAGCACTTGCAAGTAAAGGCTTCCTTTCAGGAGTGTTAAAAGAGGGCTGGGGTTTGAGAGCTTCTGGCCTTGGAGGCAAAATTTCTCGTGTTAATTTTTTTTTTTTTTTCTGTAGTCTGAGCAAACTTCCTAGATAGATTATGTAGTGGGTTAACTGTGGTCTGGTATCTCTCTCAGCTGTCTAAAAAAACAGGAAACCTTCATGGCCAAGCCTTATGCTGACTCCGTAGATGAGCCGTTAGTTAATTACAGGTGAGTTAGGCCTTCCCACTGGGGCTCCTGCAACTAAGATTAACCAAGAATCAGACTGAATGGAGGATATGCCCCTATCTCTTATGAGCTGATGAGTTCAGCTCATTTATACAGGGAAGGTTTTTTGCTCAGACTCAAAGAAAGCAATTCCTATTAAAAAACCAAAATCAAAACCACCCACCCATTTTTTCCCCTCCAGTTCTGCCTTAGCCTGAGTTCTGTCAACCCTTAACCTTAATTCCACCTCAAGGATTTTAAGACACAGCTCAAATAAAGTCAAACCCTCAACCAAAAGAAGGGGGAGGTCCTGAATCCAAGAGACAACTCACCCAGGTTCACCCAATGGCAGGGAACTATCATGCTCAATGGGCCCTTTGCTGGATCCTAGAACCAAGTCCGGGTCTGCTGGAAGGTCCTGGGTGAGCTTCTTTGGAATCCTGCCACAAATATACCAACTAATGTTAACATAAAAACATTCAAACCTATAAACAATTTGTGTGAGTTTATTTAAGATAAAATGTTGACAATTGCCAGGAAGCAGTATCTCAATGAATTGGGAGAGTGCTCCAGAGAATAGTGGTTTTTTTCAAATATTTTTATACATAGCAATCACAGTAGGGGACCTGGGTGGATTACATGAAATCCATTAATGAAAGCAAGAGAAAGCAAAGTGGAGAAACCTCTGGGATTGGATAAAAAATAAAATGATAGACACATACTTAGATGGGTGCAGCATAGTTAACAGTCAATAAAGAACATGATAACAATAACAATGAAGAAATTTGTGGTATCTGTCCTGGCACCCAGACACATTAGGTTGTGTAGCAAGGGGTCAGGAAAAGGGGAAGTTACAATCTATCCAGACATTTCAAGGATATGTCATCATAGATAGAAAAACATAGATAGGCTAACAGTTGGCCTTGTCAGTGAAGATACCAACTTAGGATGTAATTACCCACCATAACTGCTTGTAGTTAAAGTTTCATTTCAGACCATCATTTGTGTTTACTTTAGGGCTCTGAGTTTGTAAGACCGCCATTCAGGCCATCTCTGAGCCTGTCAGGTTAACACGTGGTCCCTTTCATCTACATGAGTCAGAATCTGCATTTTTAGCAGGACTTGCAGACCCTTCCTATAAACAGAAGATGGGGAAGGGAGTCCACATCCCCACATCATGGGGTCTCATTCTGGCTGGGCATCCACTACAGCTGGGCAGCTGACCAAGCAGCATTTCTAAAATATCCCCTGGGCATTGAAATCTTTAGAAAGCTCCATTGATGATATCATACAGAACCAGATGGCATCCCTGTAAAAAGACTTCCTGATGTCCCCCCAGGCTTTCACTCTGAGAATAAGAGGCAAATGGGGATGAGAGAAGGCAGTGGGAAGGCTACTGTGCACTCCACACAGAGCTGTGGGAAACACCCTGGCTACATACACTCCAAGCTTCTGCTTGTCCAAGTGTGAGCACTGGCATGGCACCAGGTGTTAACCTACAGAGTTAGGCCCTCAGTTCAGCAACCTTGGTACTTGACTTCAGCTAAGAGAAGAATTCAGAGTCAAGAACTCAAATTATAACAGAGAGTTTATTTAGAAAGTCACAGAGTTAGAAGTGAGCTTTAGAAGAAATGGGCTCAGGAAACTAGTTACTGAAACAAAAGAAGGACCCATGGAGCTTAGGACAAAGAACAAATATAAGTGCCTTGAGTAAAAAAGAAGTGGGGACAAGCACCGATGTGCTCCAGAAAGAGCCGCACTGGGTCCTTCTTGTTCAGGGCAGTTATCTGGAGGTCTCAGTGAAGGATCCCAAAAAAATATTCATCAGCTTTCCAGGTGTGTCCTTTCAGGGTCGAAGGTCATTAGTCAATATGGTAGATCCTGATGTCAGCTATGTCCTGACTCATCTGGTTTTGCTGCTTTTCTGGACCTGCAGCTGAAACACAACTGAGGCCTAGATGTCTTTGATGCCAGTCAGAATCTCATTGTCCTGGGGGCTTAATGCTGAAGGATTATTCTTAGGCCCTCTGTTTTCTACCCCCTCAAAGGACATCTAATCCACATGACTAAGAACATAACAAGGGAGGAAAGGTCAGAGAAGGGCCTCAACCACAAGTTGAGTCTCAATTCAGCAGAGTCTTAATCCAACCCCTAGCCCCCTCCCCGTGACCATGACACTCAGTAATATGAAAAGTCAGAGGGTCTAAACTACAAAACCAGGATACGCTTGGAAAGGAAAGGTTACCCAGGGGGCAAGGACAAAGTCCAGTTTTGCACGATGCTAGGTACCCAGGTGACCTTCACCTACTGGCCTATTGTCCTACTCTACTCAGGCCTAATTGCCTACTACACAAGCAAGGTGTGTGTGTGTGTGTGTGTGTGTGTGTGTGTGTGTGTGTGCATACGTAAGGAGGAGTCACTTCGGAAGAAAGTAGAAGCCTCAGCAGTTAGAGGGAATGAAAATGTAGAGGAAAGAAAAGGGGAAGCAGGAATAACAGAAGGGCAGGGAGGAACCTGAGTACAGACTCCACCGCTGGCCCATGTGACTAGGGAAGTGATCTTGGCCCCTGAGGAGGCTCAGTGCACAGGGAGGAGAAACAGCACAGCCCACCACCAGGACAGCAGTGCTTGTGAGCATTTCTGGAATCCAAGCTCTTCCCACAGAGGGAGGGACAGAGCAGGCAGCAGACACCATGGAGTCCCCTTCAGCCCCTGCCCACAGAGGACTTGACCCCAGGCAGGGGCTCCTGCTGGCTGGTGAGTGGGGACAACTACCTGGTGGTGGAAGGGAGGAGGACAAGCACAGGCTAGCTGGGCACTCCTGGGGAGCACAGGGTTCTCAGACAAAGCAAGGGAGAAGGGGTTTCTGTTTGAACTTGAAAGGAAAAGACATGGAAGCAGAGTAGGATGGGGAGGGGACTCAGCAACAGGAAAATGATGTGGAAACAATGAGGGAAAGGAAAAACTCAATGACTGCTCATTTCCCAACTTACTCATCACTGAGAGTTAAATGCTGAAAACTTCAGATAATAACAATTTATGTGAGGAGATGGGAGATTTAACCAGGGACACTAAACATTATCCTTACCACCAAGCTCAGAAATGAGCAGATATATCCCAGGATGTGCAGGACCCTGCAACACTCATTCATTCACACAAAGGCACTTACAGCCTGTTGCAAACACTGGGTGTGCAACCAGGTCAGACAAACACCTGCCTCCATGAAGGTCATGTTCTATGGGAGGAGGCAGACAAGGGAAGATCTAGATGTGATGTCAGGTCCCCCCTAGTGCCCTGCAGGGAACAGCCCAGGGACAGATCAGAAAGTGAAGACAAAGGTCTTTAGAGGAGGTGATCAGGAAAGGGGTCTTCCAAGGACACCTCTGAGTGTCAGCAGGGGTCTGAGAACAGACAACTGGGTAACAGTATTCAAAGCAGAGGAAATAACGGGTTCAGGGGTGCTGAAGTATTGGTGGCCATGCTACTGAACTTGACAGGAGACACACACACAAACACACACACACATACTCTGACCAAGGCTGAGAGATGAAAAGGCCTGCTCAGTGCCCATGGACTCATCTCTCCATTGCAATACATAGCTCCAAATATTGATCAATTTCTCTCTTCCCTCGTAGCCTCACTCCTAACCTTCTGGAGCCTGCCCTCCACTGCCCAGCTCACTATTGAATCAGTGCCGCCCAATGCTGCCGAAGGGAAGGAAGTGCTTCTCCGTGTCCACAATCTGCCTGAGGATCTTGAAAGATATGCCTGGTACAAAGGGGAAGTAGTGGAAAACAGTAAAATTGTATCATATAAAATAGTCACTCAATCAACTAACTATGGGCCTGCATACAGTGGTAGAGAGACAATATACCCCAATGGATCCCTCCTGCTCCAGAACGTCACTCTGAAGGACACAGGAAAGTATATCCTACAAGTCATGCTAAGAGATTATGATACCAAACAAGTAACTGGACAGCTCCGTGTATACCGTGAGTGATTGCTCTCTGACCTCTGGGTGCCGGGTAGGGTGAATTCTACTTCACACACAGGATTGACAGCCCTGGACTCCCCTCCATCCCCCTCCAAATCATCTCTGAGGTTGGGTTAGGGCATTTAGTGCAGGACACACACAGTGGAAACAAACTTCCTAAGGTCAGAGTTCCCTTCCCAGATTCCAGCCCTACACACATTCTCCTCAGAGAGAAGTCTGATGGGAGTGACTCAGCACAGGGAGTCTCACTCCAGCCCCTGGTCCCCTCCCCATGACCATGAAACTGAGAAAACCCTGCAGAGCTTGCACACACCCAGGCCTGAGGGGACCCTGGAATCCTCACAGAGAAGCTCAGCCTGGGAACCCCTCCCAGACCCTTGTCCCAGGGCTCCTGACTCCAGGGAACCTGGGAGCCTAGGTCAGGGTGGGTTTGACCTCCTGCAAGGCTGGGAGGGAGGCTCTACACCTGCTCACCTGCCAGGGCTCAGTCCCAAGAGCCACATCAGGACAGGGACAAAGCGTAGTCCTTCAGCTAAGGCAGTGTCAGAAGAGCACAGATAGACAAAATACCCTGGACTATTAGCTAACACTTCTGAGGGACTTATAAGAATCTGGACGGAGGTCAGGAACAGATGGGAGAAGATGCTCCTGGCAGCTCCTATCCACCAGTGGTCAGCCCAGGAATTCTCTCTAATGGAGGCAAATAATGGCAGTGGCCATTTAAGTCAGTGTGTCCTCCATCCTGAGTTTGAAATCAAGTACTCAGGGATGTTTTAAGTTCAGTCCACAGTCAACATGGTAATCCAGAGTCCACTTAGCATTTGTTCATTTTTTAATTGAGGGGAAACGGAGGCACAGTGTGATACAGTCATTGCATCAGGCTCTCACAGATACACCAAGGTCCTTGCACAGCCACAGCCCACCCTCTCCTCCACCATGAGGGTCTTAGGTGCCTGTGAACTCTGAGACCAGCCATTGGTTCACTGCTTTTTCTTAGCAGTGCCAGCTCAAGGTAGATTTCCTGCTCTGGTGATTAAGCAAGTGGAGAAATAATTTTTACTGTAGAATCAAATTACCTACAATAACATTCAGAGTCAGTGCTGGGAACGCCCAGGCCTTCCCCTCAGGTTACCCATCTAGCTCTCCCTGCACTGGATTTGAAACCACTTATTTCTCTCTTAAGGTGTTGGTGTCATTCCCACTAGCTATGAATGAAGGGACTTTGCCTTCTCCCCACCGTACACCTGCTAACAGCTCAGGGACCAGCAGTCACTTGCTCTTTCATGAAGGAGGGAAGAAATGATGGTGAATAATGATATAATGAATGAGTGAATGAATGACACATTATTGCCTCAGAGACTGGAACCTGGATGCAGAATCCTAAAAGGTTTTAGCCACACCTGTGCCCTATCCCTACAGGTGCTGAGAGCCATGTCCATCCCTCTAACCTCTGTCCCTGTAGCCCCCTCAGGAACCAAGTCCCTTTGTACTGTAGGCTGTTCTACTGTAAGAAGGTTTTCCAGGCTGCACTGCTTCTGCCCTGGGGCAGCTGTGGGCCTTTGAAGTCGCCTGAGACCCCCACTGTTCACCAAGGACATTCTGCCTCTCTCTATTCCTTCCATGTTCCTTATGTGCCTCCTCCTTCATGCCAGACACACTGCCTAGCTCTGCTCTGCTTCCTCCACCAGGCAGTCTCCCCAGATTGTCCTGCTAATACCTGTGTCCAGGCCCACCTTCCCGGGCAATAGGAGAGGACACAGAAAACAGTGGAGCAGCAGCCCTGGCTCCCTCATGAGCCAGTATCCCAGGTCACCAGGAGAAAGAGCTTCTGCTGGGCCCCATCAGGGCTCCTATTCCCCATGAGGCCCACAAGAGGAACAGACCATATGACAAAGGCATGTAAACCTTTGACCTACTCTCTACATGACTCAACCAGGAAGTCAAAGGCAGGACAGGTCTGATCCCCCAAAGCTCATGGGTTCACTCCACCTCTGACTGGTGACTCACACCCTTGTCCTTGTGTGAGTCTCCCATTCCTTACACTAGCTCCGGAGACCTTTCCCAGGTGAGCCTAGTGACCCTGCACCATCTCACTGGTTCACTGCCTGTTTCACACACATATGTTCTCTTGATAACACCTTGACCACAGAGTGGTATCCTCTCAGACTCTGAGATTCACCAGCCACTCTCCTTTCTCTTAGACGCGGCCCATTTGAATGAATTGTATTCAATTCCAGTTGTTTCCTGAGTTAGAAAGACAAGGAAGAGCACATGCCATATGCCCATGTCGGGGCTCCTCCCTATCTGCCTGACTGTCCATAGAAACAGGGAGGGACCTTCTTCCTAACTTTACTAACATGGCACAAGTCTTTTCTACCAATTTGGTGTTATCCCGCCCTTTACACAGCAGAGACACCTGGACTCACACTTCCCCACACGCCCCATCACTTCTGTTCTCCTAGCAGGACTCACCTTCTCTCTATCCCAGGGAGTCCCTGATTTCAAACCCACTGTGGCATCTCCCTTTAGTCACAGTGTGACCTGATTGGATGGCTGAACTTGGTCTATGACCTTTGTGCTCTCGAGATAGAAATTCCTCCAAAAACTGGCATTAGAACTTTGGAGAATGAATGATATTCACTTATTCTTTTAAAGTTGAACTCAGAATCTATCTCATAACTGACAAACACAAATGGCCCATGAGGGCCATATTTTCAGCAAGTTCATGCTCCCAGAACTTCCACTAATCCCCCTTCTGTACGTGCTATTGTCTGCGTGTTGAGGAAGGATCCCTGCCCTCTGCAGTGGCAGAAAGGACATTACAGACCAAGACCAGAGAGCATGGCTCTACTGTCACTGCCAGCCAGTTCCCCTGTCCCTCACTCTTAACTAAATCATGGCCCTGCGGGCTGGGTAATGAATTGACCGCCAGATTTGCTTCTGGTCTCCCATGTACTGTTTCAGCTCAGATACCCAGTTCAGGGCCACACTGCCCAGTCCTCTTGGGGTTTAAGGACTATGGGGTGGTCCATCATTGCTAATCTCTAGGTTAACCCTGGAATGTGAGGCTTCAGTGGAAATACATCTTGACCCAGCAATATAGGTCTGTTTAGTTGGAAGGGACTTATCACCAACACATTCCAGGTGAGACCCCAAGGTCAGCCAGGCAGTAAGCGGGTCAGTGAGGAGCCAGAACAGGTGGTGGGTGGTCTCTAATTCCCAGTCCTGTGTCTTTCTGTGATCAAACCCTGATAGTTGTGTAACACCTGAGAAAGCCTGTGCTTTTTCTCCCAGACATAGAGCAGGAGGCCTTACAATCTCCGAGTGCTCAGCTCCCCATGCATTTGTTTCTCTTGTGATGCACAGACCTGCCTTACTTCTTTAAGAACTCTAGTTAGCTGAGAAGCACCAATTCTGATTGAAGAAGCATTTGGAGGTCTCAATGGGCAATGTTCTCTCTGTTGTCTGCACAGCGGTATTACACAAACCCAGGATCACAAGCAACAACTCCAACCCAGAGGAGCACAAGGACCCTGTCATGTTAACATGTGAACTTCAGACTGAGAACACCACCTACCTGTGGTTGATCAACAGTCAGAGACTCCAGGACATTGCCAGGCTACAGCTGTCCAAGGACAACAGGAATCTCACTTTACTCCTTGTCACACGGAATGACATGGGACCCTATGAGTGTGAAACCAAGAACCCCGTGAGTGCCGGCCGCAGTGACCCATTCACCCTGAATGTTCTCTGTGAGTAACCTCTGTCCCTACCTGGGCCAGGCTGCCCACCCGAATCCACACTGCCAGAGGCCAGGCCACATCCCTCCCTCTCAGGTCAATGGACACAGACTCACACTCTGAACACCCAGGGTGACCATCTGTTCCTGGACCATTTGGGCAGATTCGGCCTTGAGCCAAGACTGGGAGGGGATGGGATGCTCCTGTCAAGAGAGGCTCAGGGTTAACAAGCTTTCACGGGACAAACAGGTTAATGTCTCAGACTCAGGCTCAGTGAACATTATGGTTGGCTATGGTTGGGACTTTTTAAAACAAGGCTGTGACACAGCTCAGAGGCAGAATGTGGCCTTTACACAGACCAGGATCTACCCCTTCCCTTTGATTACATCATGTGTGGCTGTGTTCTCTCTGCTCCAGATGGCCCGGACACCCCCACCATTTCCCCCTCCAACTCCCATTACCTTCGTGGGACAAACCTCGGCCTCTCCTGCCAGGCAGCCTCTAACCCACCTGCACGGTATTCTTGGCTTATCAATGGGAGGCCCCAGCAACCTACACAAGAGCTCTTTATCCCCAACATCACTGCACATGACAGTGGATCCTATATCTGCCTCGCCCAGAACTCTGTCACTGGCCTCACAGGGACCACGGTCAAGACTATCACAGTCTATGGTAAGTGCCTCCTGGACCATCAGCACCAGCTGGGATTTAGGTCTGTCTGGTTTTCAGAAAAGAACCTGGAGGGTGTTGTCTCCCTTCCTGTGGCCACAGTCTTCCCCTGAGCCCTCCCACTACATCTCTGTAGACTCCCTCTCTTTTTTTTTTTTTTAATATATTTTATTGATTTTTGTACAGAGAGGAAGGGAGAGAGATAAGAGAGTTAGAAACATCAATGAGAGAGAGTCATCGACCAGCTGCCTCTTGCACACCCCCTACTGGGGATATGCCCGCAACCGAGGTACATGCCCTTGACCGGAATCAAACCCGGGGCCCTTCAGTCCCCAAGCCGACGCTCTATCCATTGAGCCAAACCAGTCCCGGCTAGACTCCCTCTCTTACTCTTCTGATCTCGCATGGCAGCGCTAGGGTCCAGTCATGGAAAGTGAGGAGGGGTTCTCTCAGCCCCAGAAAGAGTCAAGTGGTGGTGGGAGGGGGCTTCCCAGAAGTAAGACAAGGGTCCTCAAGGTCAAGTTGCTTCTTCTGTCACTAATACTTTTCTGTGTCACCTCTTGTCTGTTACCTACTCCGTGTGCTACAA